GCTGAGGGTCAGTATGGGGCGGGACCTGTGACAGGCAGGGCGAGGTCCCCTGGCTGGCTGCAGCCACCAGCCTCCTGGACACACTCTCTCAGGGACCTTTGAGCCTCTCTGCACAAATCAGAGCCAGGCCCTGCTAATGGGAACTCCTCTGGGGGGGATGGGGGGAGGGCCTGAGCGGCCAGCAAGCTGTGCCCAGAGGCTGGGATCATAGATACTCCCTGCTGTCCCCTCAATGGACAGAACTGCCCACCTGCTTCCTTCCCAAGAGGGGGGTAGTTACTCCCACTTTACAGAGTTAAAAAGGTTACAGTTTCGTGCCACAAACTGTCCAATGTTGGGTCATTGGACCCCGGAAATGCGTGGTGCCAGGTGGGTCTATTGAAAAGGGAGGGAAGAGTAATATCAATGATGATGTAAGAAATGATGATGCTACGAAACGTGTACTGGGCGCCAGGCACGTTCACACTGCAGGTAAGGGAACCCCTGCAGACAGCGAGTGACCGCCTGCCCAGAGCCCCACAGGAAGTAAGGGCCTCAGCCGGGTCTCTGGTCTCCGGCCTGCACAGCTGCAGGAGCCGGTCTGTGACAGCCACCCCTGGGCGGGCTGCTGTGCCAGTGGGCCCCTCATCCCTGTTCAGTAGCGCTCACCAGCCACACCGCACACCAGGCATGACTAGGCCCGTTTTCTGAAAAGGTTCAGTGGCACCCCCTCCCCCCACACACACACCCAGTGCAGGGAGGGTGGCAAGCGGTAGGGAGTGGGCTGGACTTGAATACAGAACCGCAGGAGGAGAACTGGGAGCCTTCCCTCCTGAGCCCTGTGCTCCAGGCTTCAGACTGGCAGGTGCCCACCCATTTCTTCTCCCTTGTCCCCCTCCCACCCTCCCCAGGATGTCCCGGTCCCCGGCTTCTTCCAGGGGACCATGCCGGGTAGGCGCGCCCCACCACAGCTCCCAGGCAGCCTCTCTCTAGTCGGCGCCTCGGACTAGCTCATCTGTAAAACGGGAGCCAATGAAGGCCCAGACGTGGCGGCCTGTGCACCCTGCGCGCTTTGGCGAAGGCCCCCGTCTGCAGTCCTGACCTCAGCGGGCGGGCGGGACCGTAAAAAACCTTTTTGATCGTCCAGAACCTCACAAGCAAGGGATTCACCCCCCAGAGAACCTCAGGCAGGACCTGCTGCTTGTTTTCTCCCCGTCAGCTCCCTAACTCTGAAAGGGACCTCGCAAACGCCTGCAAGCAGGCCCGCCCCGCCGAGGTCTGACCTTCCCAGTCCTGGTCTTCACACACAGGTAAGAATAATGAGCTCAGAGAGGGGCAGCCTTTAGCCCGAGGTCACACAGCGAAGGGATGGGTTTGGGGGCGGGGGTGGCTGTGCCGTGGCATTCCAGGCAGGCGTTGGCGCCCGCTAGTCTGCCCGCTTCTGATACCCGGGTTCGAGAGGATAGGCCGCTAACGAGCGGCCCATTAGGAGGAATTGTCACTCCTGTGGGACCGAGGTTGTCCCATTAGGGCGAATTGTCATTCCTCCCGGAGCGAGGTTGTCCCGGCTCCGTGCAGGCTGAGTGCCGGGGCCGAGAGCAATTAACGCGGCTCCGGAGCGGGCAGCCGCCTCTGCCCGGGGCAGCCGGGGCGGGGCGGGGCGGGGGCGGGGCGGCCGGCGCGGCTGGAGCCGGTCACCCGGCGCAGCCCCTTCCCCGGAGCCCGCCTTTCATCTCCCCGCGCCTGGCGCCTGCCCGCAGCCCAGGCCCGTCTACGGCCCCCTCCCTCGCCCCTCCCCCGCCTCCCCCCAGCCGCGGGGACCCGGCGCTCCGTCCGGGCGCTGCTAGCGCTGCGGCCCGCGTGCGTCCTCCGCGGTTTGCAGGCGAGTTTCCGCCCGGGACTCGCGGTGCGCGTGCCCGCTGCTCCACACGGGCCCCGGCGCCTGCAACCTGCCCGGGGGCGCGGAACGTGGAGGCTGCGGGTGCGCGCGCCGGGGCCTGGGCCGCGCCCGGCCATCCCCGGGTCCCCACTTCTTACCTGCGTGACCCGGGGCTGCACACTCAGTGCGTCCTAACCTTGGGCTTTCCACCTGGGACATGGAGAAAATAATCCCGCCCCGAACGGTGTGTTAGGACAGATGAGATGCGGGGGACCGGTCCAGGCACTAACGCACCCTGGAGCGCTGAGGCTTGGTGTGACTGAGCTCCCGCTGGGAGCCCACCTTCCCGCCTACGAGTATGTCACCTTAGGGAGTGCCCCCTAAGAGCCAAAGCCGGCCCTCCGCTACGGGCTGCACCGACTCTGACTCCGCTGAGGGATGCACGTCCCCAGCCGCCCCAAGTTCTCAGCCCGGGAGGTTTTACAAAGAAGCCACAGTGAGCTGCACGCAGGCGGCGGTGCGCCTGGTTTTGGGGAGCTGGCCGAGAGAAAGCAGTGGATAGATTGTTACCGCTTTGGATATACAATGTTTTCTATTGATTCCCCTACACCTTTATGTAGCCTATTGAATGTAATCACCATAAGAACCGTCTCAGGTAGGGCTTCTCTCTTACTTCAGGGACTAGGAAGCAGGCTGAGGGGCGCGGGGGCAGAGTGAGGTGCCCAAGGTCCCGGCCAGGACGCCAGGAAAACGCAGCCTCCGCAGGAGTGGCGGACAGCGCTCTTCCGAAAGGGTTCCCCTGTGCTGAAGTCCCACCCTTCTCCCAGCAGAAGTGAGTCCCTTTCCTGAATGTCCCCACCCAGCAGGGCGCTGGGGAGGGAGCTGCAGAAGACCCTTGGGCAGGCTAGTTGCCCCCTGGGCATCTCTCCTATTCACAGGCAGCTTGGCACCCTGGCTTCCGGCACCAGGAGTTTGTTTGTTTGTTTTGTTTTCATCTCTACCATTTTCCTATTTCTGGCCTCATGCATTTCTTTTCCTGTCTGGACACCAGGAGGAGAACATGGCTTCCCCTTTTCCTGAAAAGTTCATCCATCAAAATAAAAGGGCTCCAGCACTGTGGCTTTTTATTTTAATTTCACAGGAATGAGCCTGGGAAATGGATAAATATGAACAAGGAGTTTGCAGAGCTAGAAAGCGGTGCCTGGGTACAGCCCAACTGACAGCCGGAGCCTTTGGTGCACTGTGGCACCTGGGGGCTCAACGAATTTCAGGTTTGCTTCCAAGACATGCAGCCTGCACCGGGCAGGGCGCCTCTCTTGGAGGCACAGGCCATCATCTGGCTTTACCGTCGGGTATTGGAGATGCATATCAAGCCACCCATCATCAGATGTGACTCAGGGGGAATGCACACGTCCCCAGGTAGCTCTCACAGTTGTTGTTGTTGAACTTTCTCTGATTTTCTACTTTGTTGAAGAAAAAAAAGAGAAAAGAATGTGCTTGTTCCTTGTGGAGGGGGAGGGAGCAGAGGGTTCAGAAGGCCATGGTTAGGACTTCTTCAGTCTTTAAGTTTCCAGGACAGTTTCTAAATCGTGCCGAATTAGCCGGCCATGCAGGCTGTTTTTCTCCTTGGAGATTCAGATAATGCCTGTTTGCCTCCCCTACCCAGCAGTTTCACTCCAGGCTGGGAGGGGGGGGGGGGGGTGTGCACAGGCCGGGGGAGGAAGCAGGGCATCAGAGAGGTGCTCTGGCAGTGGGTCTGGGGGTCAAGTTTCTAAGACTTGAAGTGCTAGGAGCCTCCAAGCCTTGGCCATTTCAGTACCACAAACAATGTCCCTTCCTTACAAGGCTCTGGTAACTGGTGCTGTGTGCACGGCCCTGAGCTGGGGGACTTCTGTTTCCCTCCTCACTTGCAGAAAAAAATGGTTCCGATGCAGATAAAAGCAGCTGCCGCCCAGGAGTCATTGGAGTCTTGGCCCAGCGGCCTGCGGCCTGCAGACATCCCAGGCCTCTGTGCAGTGAAGCTCGCTCTCCCCTTCCCGGCAGAGAAGCAGAGGCAGTCGTCAGTAAGGCTTGAGATGGAACTACCCAGGTACAATTGGGCGTGGGGTGAGATTCTCTCTCTCTTTCTCTCTTTTCCTTCCTTCCTTTTAAAACCAGGTGTAATGTATGAAATGTGCTTCCCCAAAAGGTCCAGAGGCCTGGGGTGTGCAACCTGGGAGCCCTGAGTCTCTGAGACTCGCAAGAGGGAGGAAGGCATTAGATCGTATCATGCCTGTTCTTCCCTTGTCCTCCTCCAAGGCAAATACTGGCACCCAAACGCACAGGACAAACACAGGCCCAGACAAACGCAGGAACACAGAATGCGCCTGGGCCGGAGGAAAAGCCCGCAGGAGCCGCCAGCAAGGGGGTTCAGGGAAAAGGAACCCCAGGGACTCCAAGAGTGCACTGGTTTCCTCCTCGCGTGGAAGACGTGGGGAGCACTGTCTTCGTTTGTCCAGTCGGGACTGTGCGGGAGAGGGCAGCCCCTGACCCCCTCCGGGGCTCTCTGTGGCCTCTCCTCTGCCAGGCGCTTAGGTAACAGCGGGCGCCCACTGGCACTCACTGAGAGCGAACTCCTCCGCGGAGCGCCCCATTGCTGCTCCCTTTCGCTCCGGGGGGCTGGCCCGGTTCAGTGCCGGCCCCTAGAGTTGCGCAGGTAGCCCAGTTTTGGCGCATAGTAGGCGCTTCCTACTTGTTTTTGCAATATTAGCTGCAGACTTGAAACGTGTTCCAGCGGCGGGGGGGGCGGGGGGGGGTGGGGGGGGGGTGTGATACAGACCCGGGGCGCCTTTTCAAAAGAGGGGTCAAAAGAGAGAAGAAATGGGACTCGGAGAACTTCCTTTTTAAATAATCGGCCTTAATTACGCCTTGGACTTTTCAGCTTTGGCGTGATTATAACCCTTGAGGGATCGCCTAATAACAACTCTGCTGACTGCTCCTGTAATTAACTCCTAATTTATTTCAAACAGGGGGGAGGGGAGAAAGGACCAGCCTCTGCCGCCAGAGCCAATGGGAGGCGCGCGTTCGTGACGTCAACGCCAGGGCCGGCGCGGATTGGCGGGCCCGAGTCTCCCACTTCCCCTTGGAGGAAAGGCTCGGCTCCCGGCGCGCCCCTCCCGTCTCCCCCCCAAAAAGTTTGAGTCGCCGCTGCCGGGCTGCCAGCCGAGTCGCGCGCCGGGACCTACGTGGGGCAGAGAAGTCATGGCTTCTCCGTCCAAAGGCAAGGACCTGTTTTCGTCGGATGAGGAGGGCCCGGCGCTAGGGGCCGGGCCGGGCCCGGGGCCCGGGGGCGCCGAGGTGGCGGCGGAGGAGCGCCGCGTCAAGGTCTCCAGCCTGCCCTTCAGCGTGGAGGCGCTCATGTCGGACAAGAAGCCGCCCAAGGAGGCGTCCCCGCGGCCCGCCGAGAGCGCCTCCGCCGCGGCCACCCTGCGGCCGCTGCTGCTGCCGGGACACGGCGCCCGCGAAGCGCACAGCCCCGGGTCGCTGGTCAAGCCCTTCGAGACCGCCTCGGTCAAGTCGGAAAACTCCGAAGACGGAGCGGCGTGGATGCAGGAGCCCGGCAGATACTCGCCGCCGCCGAGTGAGTGCGCGCCCGGGCGGGGACGCCGGGTGCTGGAGGGAGCCGGGGCGGGTTTCCAGGCAGGGGGTTCGGAGAGCCCCCGGCACCGTGCGCCCCGGAGAGCAGGCGCAGCTGGTTCGGGCCCCGGGTATCCCCCGAGTTCCGCGCGTCGGCTGCATCCTGGACACCCGCGGGCACTGGCGCAGCGCGTGGCCCGGGTCCCCTCGCTGTGCAGAGGGCCGCGCGCAGCTGCCGACTCGCTGGTCGGGGCGGGCGAACCCTCGCTGGGTTTGCGGGTGGCCTCCTTGGGTTTCTCTAGCCCCCGGCCCTGCGCTTCGGCCACTTCGCTTATTTTGTTTCGCTGCCACCAGCGTCTGGGGAGTGAAGGGGGGTGTGAAGTTCACAGCCCCTCGGGGTGTGCCCTCCTTTTAACGATGAGCCAGCTGAAATCTAGCCCGATATTGGGTGGACAACCTGATCTCCCCTGGATCCCGCGGGCGTCGAAGCAGCACCCCGCGAAGGGAAGGCGGCAGAGGCTGATGCGGGGCTGATGTCCCCGCCGCCGGCACCTCGGCGAAGAAGTCCCGAGCTTCGCTGGGAGCGGGCCCGGGCTGAAGCGAGGGGTGCCCCGCTTGGCTTAGTGATCATGAAAGGCTTCCCTGGGCGCCCAGCTCAGCAGACCCCAGTCATCGCTGGAGCCCCGAGGCGCAGGCAGAGGCGGGACCTGGGGCTGCCCCCTTTCTGAGACACCCAGGCTTTATTTTAAGAAGACTGACTTGACTGGCAGTGGCCGAAGTGGGGCCGGGGCCCTGGTGTCCGAGCCAGGCTGCTCTGGGGTGCCCTAGCCCCAGACCTTGGGTCCTTCTCCCCAGAGGGACCCAGCAGAGGTCCTCACACTCGCACCCCGCTTCCTGCAATGAGGCGGGCGGGCGGGGAGTTGGCCCAGGAGAGGGGTGACGCCTTCAGCTTCAGCATCCATGTTGGGGCCCTGGGGCCTTCTGCAGGTTGGAAGTCATTCCCCACTACTTTAAGTCTCTCTCTGGGCCTTTAAGAGTTCTCTGCCCGCTGTACCTCTGGGAAAGGTGGGCAAGAGGGGGCTTGTGGAGGGGCTTTTTATGCAAAGTCAGGAGACGCCTCTCTCTCCACTTCCACCCGTCAGCCCTGGAGGCTGGAGGTGCACAGCATTTTGTGAACAAAACCGGGCCATCTACCTGGCGTCGGAGGCTGTCCCCGCCGGCGTCTCTCTCCACCCTGATAGAAACTCCAAAAGATTCAAAGGGCGTGGAGATTAAGGACTCAAAGAATTTAAATACAAGTTTGCTCAGTGCTTTATGGCACTTTTAACCATGTTATCTTATCTGATCTCTGTGGCCAGAGCCGGCCTCCTGGGAACAGATGAGGACTTTGCAGCCGAGTTCAGAGGATTCAACACACCCAGCTTGGCTTCACAGAAAGAAACCGGGCGCCACAGAATGACGGGGCTCCTCTGGACATTCTAAAATGCCTTGCCCGGAACCTCACCGCGTGATCAGTATTGCTTACCCATTTTATTGATGGGGAAGTAGAGGCTCGGGAACTTTAAGGGACTTCATATGTTTGACAACTATTGAGTGCCCCACGGGTTCCTAGGCCTGGGCCCATATGCCCCGCGGCACAGGCAGCTTCGGGCCTTCCAGGGAGACATGTCCAGAGGTCAGAAGTCCCACTTCCTCAGGCCTCCAGGTTCTGGGATGGCCATTCCCTCACTGACCTCGGTAAACAGCCCCACCACAGAGTGTAACCCAGCTTCCCTGCTAAGTAAGGCCACCTTGGGCCCTGGAGCTGACCTTCCCATAAGAAAAGCTGGAGATTCCGAGAAAGGACTTCATTTTAAAACAAAAAGTGGGTTATTGGTGCTTGGGGCCTGCAGAGGCCACAGGAGTGCGGGAGTAGGAGCCAGGTCCTGGGAGCTCCCAGGGAAGGAGCCTGGGGCGGGAGGGAGCCACCCGCCCTGGCCTGGTTTTGTTATTCAGAGGAAGTGGGATAAATGCTGTTTTGCTTTGTATAATCGCATCCTTCCTCTGCTTGGTTTAAAATGGGGGGGGGGGGGGAGGTGGGAGGTGGGAGGAGGAGTGGGGGGCCAAGAGGAAGCGTCCCAACTTTTCGGCTTTGATGCCCGTCTCCCGGATTTCATAACTCACATGTAGCCCCCAGGAGGGACTGTGCCGGGAACTGGAGTTGCTTTCCCACTTAGCGCAGGATCCTGCTGAGACGCTGGGAGCTGGGGACCCGAACCCCTGCCGCTGGGCCCTCCAGAGCCCGGCCATTTGCGAGGCTGAGGACGTCCGGGTCCTGGAGGCGCCGACAGTGTGGTTAGGGTTATTTGTACGTTAAGGAGCAGGTGCCCTGGTTCACTTAGGGATTAGCGTTTGCAGGTACGTCTCTGTGGTCCTTCTCGCCCACCCCTCCCAGAATGCTGGCTTTCTGGTTGGTTGCCGAACCCACTACCTCTTTCTGTCAGTCACTTAACGTGATGGTTGGTCATGTCACCCGGGACAGGTCCACTGCTTGCTGGAAGCGGCGGCTGGGCTGGGACCTGTGCTGTGTCACCCTCCCGTACGAAGTGTAAACTCTTGGGCCACCAAAGTAACAAAACAAGAAATGCGACATTCTCCCCCTGAGTCCTTGCAGTTATTGTAACTGCGGCTCCACTTGGAAAATTAGCATAGCTCGTAAAAGCCAAACGCAGCCAGTTAATTGTTTAGCAACCTGCCCCCCAGTGCCTCCCGCCTCCCCCTCCCCCTCCCCCCTCCCCTCCCCTCGAGGAAGGAAGCCCTGAGTGAGCTGATGCCCTGGGACTGCGAGGTGCCCGGCCAGTCCCGTGGCTTGTCATCGAGTCCAGTGAGGCACGGAGTCTGATGCTGCTGGCGTACCTTCATTTGGCTTGTTATTGCCTCTCCGAACCCTGGCGACAAACGAAGCATTTACACGTTGGCTCCACACCACGGCATAATGGGCCGGATGACTAAGATGTCATCACATGCTCTCCATCCCCAGGCGAGGCGGCCTGATTTCCCCTGACATTTACGTTTATGGGCGAGCTAATTTTTCTCTCCTTGGTACAGTTTATATCCCAGAAGCACCCGGCCAAAAAGCTCAGCCCACATCTGTAAAGTGATGTTCAAGTTTTATCATCTGTAGACGGATGGAATGACAGCTGTGGCGGTTTACTGCGTGGGGCTGCTCCCCCCTCGCAAGATGCTGTTAATTTACCACAGACCCTCTCTGCAGGGTTACCCTCCGCCAGTGTGCGGATACGGCCCAAGGCGTCCGCGGGGCAGAGAGGGAGCCGCCCGCCTTCAGAAGACCCTTCTCATTTTCTTTCCCATACGCGATTTTGTCAGCATCCGCGGGAAGTGAGGACTATTCGGAATCCATCCCCCATATTATTGATTTCTGGTTTTAGAGCAAGAGAAGAAGAGGGAGGGAGGGAGAGAAACATTGATGTGTTGTTCCACTTATTTGTGCATTCATTGGTTAATTCTTGTATGTGCCCTGACCAGGGGTCCAACCCAAACCTTGGCTTTTCAGGAAGCTGCTCTAACCAACTGAACTCCCCCCCCCCCCCCATTTTAATGAGGAGAAATTAAGCTCAGAAGAGATGGGGTTTTGATCTTAGGAACCAACCACTTGACTCCCTTGACTTAGGAGAGGTCTGTTCTCAGGAGTTCTATTTCCATTGCTCTAAGGCTGTTTATTTCCCATAAAGTTCTGTTACACCATTAAATTCCCAAACGTTTTAGCAAAAGCCTCAATTTTTTAAGATGAAGTAATTTATCTATTTAAATATCAATTTTTTAAAATGAAGTAATTTATCTATTTAAATATGGTCCTCCATCCTCCTCCCCCCACCCACACCTGGCTCTGACAAAGGAGTCTGGAAGATGAAGAGGGGGCCCTGGCCTTGCTAACCGCTCCCTCTCTGCCCCCAGGACACCTGAGCCCCACCACCTGCACCCTGCGCAAGCACAAGACCAACCGGAAGCCGCGCACGCCCTTCACCACGTCCCAGCTCCTGGCGCTGGAGCGCAAGTTCCGGCAGAAGCAGTACCTCTCCATCGCCGAGCGCGCCGAGTTCTCCAGCTCGCTGAACCTCACAGAGACCCAGGTCAAAATCTGGTTCCAGAACCGGAGGGCCAAGGCGAAAAGACTGCAGGAGGCCGAACTGGAAAAGCTGAAAATGGCCGCGAAGCCCATGCTGCCCTCCGGCTTCAGCCTCCCTTTCCCCATCAACTCGCCGCTGCAGGCAGCCTCCCTCTACGGCGCGTCCTACCCTTTCCATAGACCTGTGCTCCCCATCCCGCCCGTGGGACTCTACGCCACTCCTGTGGGGTATGGCATGTACCATCTCTCCTAAGGACGACTGCCCGCGGACTCCGGGACAGGACGAGGCGTGTTCCATGGGTCCCCCGCCCTCGCCAGGAAGCGCCCGGCTCTGCCAACCTCACACGCACCACCCCGAGCAGCCAGGCCGCCGCCGCCGCCTTCGTCCTGGGGGCTGGAGACCCCAAGCTCCGTGTTCTTGGTGTCATTTCCCAGACACCCCCTTCTCCTCACAAAGATTGGCTCTGATGGTTTTTATATATAAATATATATCACGAAACAGAACGCATTTTTATACAGCGGACGTCAAAATCCAAGTTATTTTGAAAGGCGAAATTTATATATATACTTTTTTATGTATATCACCCTAACAGACTGCTGACGTTCATTTGTGTGGGTTTTTTTTTCTTCTTAGAGGGGGAGACAAATTGTTTTCTAAAATTGCTGAAATGTAGTGATTTGGGTGGGATGACTGGCTGTTGCTTAAGGAAAACAGATATTAGAATTAGACACAAAGTGCATAGGCCACCCATAGGGAGACATTCCTCCGGGCGACAGGCACAGGCCACGTACAGTCTTCCATGCACTCGACTAATTAGCGGCTACACATTGGGCCCTGTTTGCCCCCCCCCTGCACATTGCCACATTGCTACCAGTTAAACGTTTCCTTTTTTTGGGGGGGGTGGTAAGATCAATAAAAGGGGGCTGAGAAGACTGAGCCAGCCTCGGGGTAAAGTGGGAAATGGAAGTACTTCCCTCCAGGCTGTTGCTTAACTCCATTTCAGATCATTGTCCGGAGGAATTGATGGTTCTGTGAAATGCTCTGGGTCAGTCCTCACACGTTGCAAAAGTGATGGGGGAGGGAGGGGTGTAGTTAATTCTCTGCTTAAATAAATGTCTTGTAACCATTACCTATATGCTACATATTCTTGGACAATGAATAGATCCAGAAAGAAAGAAAAATCCTGCTTTCTCTGTGTGTGTACCTATTGTATGTGCTAAACGTATTAGGAAAATTTATATCCTTTTTTAACATGTTGGGGGCCGAGGGAGAAGCCATGTTTTGACTTGCTAAGAACCCACTTAGCTCCCTGGTATTGCATCTTCCCATTCATCTCCCCGCCCCACCTTCCCCCAACCAGTATACTTCATCCCTTTGAAAGGGTGTCTTGTATAATTTTATATATTTTATTGAAGAGTTATTTCTTATCTCTTATTCCGAATTAAATTAAACATTTGTTTTATTGCAGTAAAGTTTGTCCCAATTTAATTATTTCAAGAGGCAATCTCTCTGGGTTCTTCCTTGGGCTTTGCTCAAAAAATGCCACCCAAATGGGGGGAGGAAGGCTGTTGATTTTTATTATTTGAATGCGAATCAATCAAGAGTTTTGGCCAGATTCAGCGGGGAGGGGAGTGGGCGGTCCATTGAAAACAGCAAAATCCTTTGAAATATTTCCCCTGCAGCTTGGGTTACTCTTGGAAAAGAAGTGGAGTTTTGGAAACTCCAGTGAAAGATGAGCTTGGGAGAAAGGTGCAGGGTGAGGGCCGCCAGCATGGGAGACTCTAGATGGTCAAGGGGAAATCCTGAACTTGAAATTTACCATCTATCAAAACAGCAGCAAATTGGCTCTGAGGGAAGAGCCCATGGCTCCTGGCAAATGGGGGTGGTGACTGGTGCCCTGTGGAGGGTCTCACAGAGGCCCCCTTCCCCATTCCAGCCTCTTCCCCCAACAGTCCCCGACTAATCCTCTCTCCGGTGGTTTGAGGGGGACTGGTTCATTGGAGTCTCCTTCGCTTTGCAGCTTTGCAGCCTCCCTCCGCTGGATACAGAAAGGGGGTCAGGCCTGGGCCTGAGGCATCCCTATCCAAACAAGTGGCTAGTGGGCAGGGGGCTGAGGGGAGGGCACCTTCAAGGCCACTTTCCGATGCACCAGTGAGTGAGGAGGCTGCGGTGCCTCACCTCCCCCGGTCTGATGAGAAGCCCCTGGGAACCCAGAAGGCGGGAGGCCGGCACCTGGCACTGGGGGACCGGCGCTTTGGCCCGCATTTTCTTGCGGATGGCCGCGAGCCTCAGGCCTCACAGCCCTGCACCAGGTGCCCGAACCCGGCTCCGTTCCTGGCAGAGCCCACGGAAGTGCCCAGACCTTCCCAACTGTGCCACCTCGCCCTCTGGCGGGCCTCCCAGCCCCAACTTCCAACCCCGGCCCCAGTCCGCCTTCCTCGCTTAAGGGATGCGCTTGCCAAAGCCCAAAGCCCTTCAGGGTCCGCCATCAGCCGCCTCCTTGGGTCCCCAGTTAGCCGTCTCCCCAGCTTCCCTTCCCGGCACTGGGACCCCGCAGCCTCAGGGATCCGAGCCCAGGAGGGAGTTGGGAGACCGGGCTGCCTGGGAGGGGGGTCCTTAGCCCCAGTGCTGCTGGGAGAACGGTGGCTGTGGCTGCTGGGCCTGTGGGGTGAAGGGAGACGCCTGGGCGACGGCGCATTACAACAGAAGCCCCACATCCCCAAGGCTCAGGCTCAGACACAGGCACTCGGCATGGAGGGGGTCGCTGAGCTGAGGGCTGAGCCAGGTTGCGGGGACCTTGCCTGGCTCTGGGGTCCTCTGAGCCTCCCAGGGAGCTGGTTCGGCCGTCCTGGGGTCCCCGCTGCGGAGGGCCCGTTATGCCGTCAGAGACCAGACCAGCAACCTTCGGGCAGAAGGCCCCTGACTCCCCAGAACCCCGCAGCCCGGCCCTGGACCTCCTTGCAGGGGCTGCTGGAGGCCAGCACACAGGCCCTCACCCCCGCGTTCTTCCCGCTTTCATCCAAAGCTTCCCAGAAACAGCTCTGCTTTCCGCAAAGGGGAAGGAAGGAGGGGACCCTGTTCTGAGCCCCTAGGTGTGGAGCTAGCCCTTCTCTCTGCCGCATGTAGCGACTGCACAGCCGCGGGAGGAGGAGCCCGAGGCCGAGGCGGCTCCCTGAGCACAGGGCCAGCGCGTGGTGGGCTGCGGGTTGGCCACGGCGGCCACGCAGGAGCCTCAGACCTGATGCGGGGCCTGCACCGCCGCCGCCGTCCCCATCCCCAAGCCCTGAGGACCCGGGTCTGGGCCTCTCTCTGCATCCCGTCCTCCTCCCTCACTGCGGGGGGGGGGGGGGGGTGTCCCCACCCAGGACCCCGTTTCCCTCTCTCCTGGGACCTGGGCTCAGTCTAGGAGGGGGTGCGGGCAGGGCCTGCAGGTAGGCGAGAAGGCCTGGCGGGAAGAGGCTCCGGCACAACGCAAACCCTCTGCCCGCCCGCCTGGCCCGCTTGAAAAGAGGGCCCTGCCTTTGAGGGGACCTCGCCCGCCCGAATGAAACTCCCACGGCCATTCTTCGCCATAAAAGCCGCTCATTTGCCACGGGTTGGAGAGGCCATTCCCCACCCCCACTCCCGCTCCACTGCTGGGTTTGGAATAAACATAAACCTCCTGCATAAAAGAGCCATGGCGCTCTCTCTCTCTCTCTCTCTCTCTCTCTCTCTCTCTCTCTCTCTCTCTCTCTCTCTCTCACACACACACACACACACCCCACCCTCTGAAATCACAGGGCCTGGGTAGTGAAGTTGATTACCCCGTTTCCCCTTCAACGTTCAGTAAAACAATTTTTCCCACTTGGCGATGCTGCGGGCATCTTTAATGAAGCTGGTCGGAGGGCTGGGAGGAGAAGTCGGCTGTCAAGTCCTGGACCCCTCTCCCCGGCTCCCCCCCCCCCCCAGCCCCTCTCCCCTCCGCCCTGCTAGGAACTAAATAAAAAGCAGGAAAATTACTTTCCAAAATAGCCCCGCTTCAAAGCAGACCCAGGCGCGGGCTTCGGGGATCCTGAACCCGGCCCCGATAAGGCTCCTAATAATCAAATCCAAACTCCATCCACCTCCTCCGCCTCCCTCCTCCCTCCTCCGGACCCTCTGCATTTGTTGATGAAAACACTTTGATGTCCCAAACAATTATTATTATAATTTTAAACAACCTGGTATTTTCCATTACTAACGGCTCGGGCTTTGAAGTTACACCTCATAATTTCCTAAATTAAATAAATCATTTTAAGTTTGCACTGGGAGGCTTTTAATAGCAGAGAAAGGAATATCATTATCTTATTGAGACCCAATTGCGGCGGCTCCAGCCTGGCTGTAGCTGGGGGCTAAGTAGGCTCCCTCCAACAGACACACTTTATTAACCTCCCATAACTCTTGAAAGAACATTTTTATATTTTCTTTGATTCCCCCTCCCTCTCTTGTTTTAAAGCGGCCCCGACCTTTAATTGGTGCCTAATATGAAAAGCATTATTTTTAACGCTATGTAATTTACCAGCGGCAGCAGGCCAAGCAAACAATTGTTTCTTAGACTCGGTTTTTCACACAGGGCAAAGAATGCCGCTCCAAACCCAACTTTTCACGGGTGGTTGCACTAATTAATACAGTGTCTGCGGCTCCTGGGGGTTTAATATTGAAGCCTACGGGGCGGAAGGGGTTTAGAAGTCCGGCTCCTGCCACGGCGCCCTCGGATTTCTTTCACGCTGTTTGACCCTGTCTGTGGAGTCAGCACAGACAGAAACTGTTCCCTGGCCCGCACGCCCGGAACCCCCAGTGCCTCCAACTTGGGATTGAAGGCTTGGGGGGGGGGGCAGGCTTGGGGTGCAGGGAGCCCCCTGCTCACTCTGGGTTTGGGGGAGGGATGCCCCTCTGGCAGCCTGGAGGGGAAGAAGCCCGCCGGGCTGGGCTGGAGTCAGGCTGTTGGGGGCAAATGCCAGCTCTCCCGGGCACCGGGTTCTGGGTACGGAATTGCCCAGGACAGGCAGGGACTGGCAGGGGGACTGGGAAAGGGACCCAGGGACCCAGGGACTCAGGGACCCAGGGACCCAGGGACCCAGGCCAGCTTCTCTCTCCAGCTCCCACATTCTTGTGTCTGACTTCCCATTCTCATCTCCAGTTCCACCCCCCGGCTCCTTCTCATTCTTTTCTTCTTTCCCCTCCGTTCATTCTTTCCCATGTCTGTCCCATGTTATATGTTTTCACACTTTTCCTTTCCCACCTTCTTACTGTCTGACAATTCCTTCCCAAGCTCATAGCCTTCATTTCTTTTACGCTCTTTTCTTCTCTTGTTTTCCTGTCACTTTGCTCTTCCTTTGCGTCTCTGAATAGTGTTCGGTTTTCCATTTATTCTCGTTCCCACTGTCACCTCCTCCCCACCCCCCACTCCGTCTCTGTTCCCAGTCTTTCTTCCCCGGTTCCAGCGATTTCGTGCCGGATTCCGGAGCCCAGCCCTGCTCGCTCCTCCCGGCGCTGCGCCCTGGCGCGGGGGGCTCCTGGCCACCGCGTCCCTTGGGCGCCTGCCCTCCCCGCTGCACCTGGCGGGCCAGCCCGGGGGACCCCTGAGCAGGGAGAGGGCAGGTCCGCGGGTTTCTCCCTGGGGCCGTGGGCGTCGCGGCGAGAAGGGCAACGCCGGGCCGGGAAGGGCCAGGTCCCCGCGCTCGGCCCCCGGCCCCGCCCGCCGCCGGCCGCCCGTTTGAAGTCGCGGGCCCGGCAGGAATGCGGCCGGGTTATCAATCACGCAGCTGGATCCCGAAGGTCTCGGCCTAATCACATTTAATTGCTCGTGGAGGCCCACTCTCGCCCCGGGCCGGCCGCCGCGCTCAATTACTCCCCAAATACCAGCCGTCAAGGAGCGCGCGCTGACACCGCGGCCCGCGCCGCCCGGGCTCCCCGCCGCCCCGGCGCCCCGGCCCCCGCCCCGCCCCCCGTCGTTAAACTCACACCTCGCCCCAGAGGAGCAAGCCGAGCGGGTAATCACAGTCCCTTTACGGGCGCTTCCCGAGGCCGGGCTCCGGGCGCAGCGACCTGCACCTCCCCGCGCCTGGGAGCCTCGCCCCCGGCCGGAGACGATGCCACCGGCTCCCTTTGCGCTATGGGAACGGACCGAGGTTCCTTCCAGAACGTGTCCGAGGTGGCAAAGGTAGGCAGCGCCCCGCCGGGAAGGGGCCTGGCGACCCGGCTGTTCCGCCGGCCGAGAGCACAGGGCAATAGCGCCTCCCAGAGGCGGGAGCCGGACCTGGCCCGCACCTTCCGCAGGTACTTCTCCTGGCAGCTCCTCCCTCCCTGGTGCCAATCCTGGAAAGTATCCCCAGTTATCCCTTTTCCAGGTGAGGACACTGGGGTCCGAGCCCGGACGTGAACTTGGGGTGTGGGAGTGGGGGGGAGAAGCTCGCTCTCACACTGAGACCCTGGCCTGTCCCTGCCTGAAGGC